CACAGGAGGACTAGCCTACTACAGCCAGACTCTGGTGTGCCCGTTCCACCCCAGGAGAGGGCCCTGGGTGAGATAAGAGGATGCACTGCCAACGGGAGGAGCCTGAGTGGCCCAGAGGGCACGCAGGAAATCACTCCTTCCTTGGGGGCAGAGAGGGAATGACTCAGGGCTGACTGGTGGGAGTTCCGTTTTTGTGGCCAGGATGGGCTGCAGTGGGGCCCCTTGGATAGCACACTCAGCTTCCCCTTCCCCAGCTGCCCGCCTAATGAGGCTTTGAGAGGTGTGTCTTGGCCTTTCCTTTTCCCTCTCCCATCATTTCTCTGGAAACAAGTTTGTGCTGCTGGACTGGTCTCTTGCTCCAACCCCTGCCCAACCTAGGCCATTCCCTGTGAGAACATACTAGTAGAGAGAAGCAGTAAGAACTGAAGTAGACAGGTGTGGGGCAGGTGAGTCTGAGTATTTAGGTGCTCTGTACCTGCAGTTTGTTGCCTTGTTTGTAGTGGGGCTCTGAGTGTTACTGGGGCCACAATGGAAATCTTCTGTTGGGCGAGGGTGCCAGTGTATTTGTGTTCAAATTGGAAGTTGTATTATGCCCACATCAGGTCTCTTTTCACTCTGCCAGAGAAGCAGCATAGCATTATGGCTAAGAGAGGGACCCTGAAGTCTGAATGCCTATAGGTTTGAATCCCAGCTCTGCCATTTACTAGCTCTGCCATTCGTCAGACTTTGGCTAAGTTACTTAATCTCTCTGAGCTTATTTTCTCTTTTATAAAGTAGGGATGATGATAATAATAATACCTACCTCATATGTTGTTGAAGATAGAAAGAATGAATACATGTGCAAAGTGCTTGGAACAGTACCTGGCAATTAAGAGCCATGTAAGTATCAGCTGTTTTTATTCTTGCAGTGACTGGCTTCTCTTTCAACCCAGTCATCTAAATAGAAGCTTGGCAGTAATCCTAGACTCTGCCTTTTCCTTCTACTCCTGTATTCAACCTTTGCCCATTCTTTCACCCATTTATTTCTTCCAATTCACCACCACACCATCATTTCTCACCTGCACTACTGGAATAGTCCCTCACTGATCTCCTTGCCTTTGCTCTCTATATTTCTGTAATAACTGTATTGAGATATAATTCACATAACATACAATTCACCTATTTAAAGTGTACAGTTCAGTGGTTTTTAGTATATATACAGATATATACAACCACAGTCAATTTTAGACCTTTTTTTTTTTATCACCTCAAAAAGAAATCCATATCTTTTAGCTCTCATCCTACTATCTCCCCATCTTCCTCCTAGCCCTAAACAGCCACTAATCTACTTTCTATCTCAATAGATTTGCCTATTGTGGACATTTCATATAAATGAAATACAAATATAATATGTGGTCATTTGTGACTAGATTCTTTCATTCACTTAGCATAGTATTTTCAAAGTTCATGCATGTTATTGTGTGTATCAGTACTTCATTCCCTTTTAATGGCTGAATAATATTCTATTGTGTGGATATGTCACATTTTGTTTATTCATTCATCAACTGATAGACATGTGGGTTATTTCTACTTTTTGTCAGTATGAATAATGCTTTTATGAACATTTGAGTACAAGTTTTTGTGTGGACATGTTTTCATTTCTCTTGAGTATACACCTAGGAGTGGAATTGCTGGGTCTTATGGGAACTTTACGTTTAACTGAGGAACTGCCAGACCGTCTTCCAAACATGTCGCACAATTTTACATTCCCACCAGCAGTGTATATGGATTCTGATTTCTCTTTGCTAACGCTTGTTATTATCTGACTTTTTGATTATAGACATCCTAATGGGTGTGAAGTTGTATTTCCTCATGGGTTTGATCTGCATTTCCCTGATGACTAACCGTACCAAACATCTTTTCATGTGCTTATCAGCCATTCGTATACCTTCTTTGGAGAAAAATTTATTCAGATCCTTTGCTCATTTGAAAATCGGGTTGCCTATTATTGAGTTGTAAGACTTCTTTATGTGTTCTAGATATAAGTCCCTTATCGGATACATGACTTACAAATATTTTCTCCCATTCTATGGGTTGTCTTTTTACCTTCTCAATAAGGTCCTTTGATGAAGTCTAATTTATCTATTTTTTATTTGGTTACTTGTACGTTGGTGTCATGTCTAAGAATCCATTGCCAAATCTGAAGTAATGAAAATGTATTCCTATGTTTTCTTTTAAGGGTTTTATCGTTTTGGCTCTTACATTTAGGTCATTAATCCTAATTTTGAGTTAGTTTTGTATATAGTGTTTGGGTAGAGATCCAACTTCATTCTTTTGCATGTGGCTATTCATCTGTTCCAGCATCATTTGTTGAAGACTGTTCTCTCTCCATTGAATAGTCTTCACACCTTTGTTAAAAATCAGTTGACCACATTAGTTTATTTCTGGACTCTCAATTCTATCCTATGGATTTATGTATCTGTCCTTATGCCAGTGCCACACTATCTTGATTTTTGTCACTTTGTATTTGGTTTGAAATTAGGAAGTGTGAATCTGCAAATTTTGTTATTCTTTTCCAAGATTGTTTTGGATATTCTGGGTTCCTTGGAATTCTGTATGGGTTTTTGAATCAGCTTGTCAATTTCTACAAATAATCCAGCTTGAATTCTGATAGGGATTTCACTGAATCTGTAGATCAATTGGGGAAGTATTATCATCTTAATAATAAGTCTTCCAATTCATGAACATGAGATGCTTTTCCATTTATTTAAGTCTGTTTTAATTTCTTTCAATGATATTTTGTAGGTTTCAGACTATAAGTTTTACACTCTTTGTTAAATTTGTTCCTAAATATTTTATTCTTTTTAAATGATAGTATTTTCTAAATGGAGTTGTTTTCTTTTTTCATTTTCAAATTGTTCATTGCAAGTGTACAGAAGAATACTGTTTTGTTTTGTTTTGTTTTTGTATATTGGTCTTGTGTCCTGCAACCTTGCTGAACTCATTTATCAGTTCTAATAATTTTTTAGTGGATTTGTTACGATTTTGTATATACACAATCATGTTATTTGCAAATAGAGGTAGTTTTACTTCTTCCTTTCCAGTATGGGTACCATTTCTTTTTCTTGCCCATGTGCTTTGGCTAGAACTTCTAGTACAATGTTGACTAGAAGTGGAGAGATCAGGCACCCTTGTCTTGTTTCTGATCTTAGGGTGAAAACATTGTTTTTCACTATTAAGTACAATGTTAGCTGTGGGTTTTTGTTAATGCCCTGTATCAGGTCAATGAAATTTCCTTTGATTCCTAGTTTTTTGATTTTTAATAATGAAAAGGTGTCGGATTTTGTAAAATGCTTTTTTGTGTCTTTTAAGATAATTATGCAGTTTTGTTTATTATGTTCTATTGATATGGTATATTACATTAATTGATTTTTGGTTGTTAAATCGCCCTTGCATTCCTGACATAAATTCTACTTGGTTATGATATATAATCCTTTTCATATGTTGCATTGTGTTTGATAGTGTTTTCTTGAAAATTTTTGTGTCCATATTAAGAAGATATTTTGATCTGTGGTTTTCTTTTCTTGTGATATCTTTGTCTCCTTCAAGTGTCAGAGTAATACTGGCCTCACAGAATGAATTGAGAACTATTCTCTCCTCTTCTATTCTTTGGAAGAGTTTGTGAAGAATTTATATTTATTCTTATTTAAATGTTTAATAGAATTCGCTAGTGAAGCCATCTGGACGTGGGCTTTTTTTGTTGTTGTTGATGGTGGTAGTTTTCTTTTTATTACTAATTTAATCTCTTTACTTATTGTAAGTCTATTCAGATTGCCTACTTTTTCTTTAGTCAGTTTTGTAGTTCCTTTCTTTCTAGGAATGTGTCCATTTAATCTAAGGTATCTAATTTATGGGCACACTCCTTACCTTCACTCTTGCTCCTCTATTATCCATTCTCCACACAGTAGCCAGAGTGGTTTTTTTAAAAAATGCAAATCTGCGTATGACACACCCCAGTTCGTCCATGACTGCTCTCTGCCCTCAGGATAAAGATCCATATCCTTAATGCTGACTATAAGGTCCAGCATAAGCTGGCCCCTCTCACCCCTCTGGGTTCCTAGCCCTCACAGAGCTATGTTCTCCCTTTGTTCCAGCCACATGGAACTCTTTGCAGCTCTTAAACATACCACATGTCACAGGTGCCGTTTTCTCTGCCAGGAGCTTTTCCTCTGGTGAGCCCCCACTTCTTTTTCATGACCCAGATTAAAATGTAACTTTCTCTGGAAAAGCTTTCCTGACTCCATTTCCTTTCTATATGTTACCCAGGTCCCCTCCCTTTTCTAGCATACAGTTCTATTTTATTGTTTATTTACATGTCTGTCACCCCTCAGGGGCTTCTTTGTGTATATATTAGTCCCCATCAGGGACAACTTTTTAATCCACATATCTTGGACCTGGCAATATCCTTGTAGTGGATCTGAAATTTCATTTTAGCAAATCCTGTCTCCCTCATCCGGCATAGCCTCCTATTTACTCCAGTTATTTTTTTCCCTTAAATTCAGCCCACATGCCAACCATTCAAATCTTTTTGGAATACAGATTCTGATAACCACCCCCACCCAATTTCCTGCATTTGTATGTGACATCTGCTGACACTTATTAAGTATTTTCTATGTACCAGGCCCAGTGCTGCGAAAAATGTGCTTGTGTGATCTCATTTAGTGCTAACAACAGTAAAGTAGCTATTACTAACCCCATTTTTCAGGGAGGTTAAGTGACTTGACCAAGGTCACCCAGATAGTAAGTGATATAACAGGGACTTGGACAAGGGTTTGTGTGATCCAGAATGTGTGCTCTTAACTTCAATGCTATGTCATGTTATATATTCTTTGATTTCATCTGATTCACTGAAAAAAAAAATGTGTGAAGCAAGACAAATGTTTCCTAAGGACCAGTGGGAGAGAAATCAGAGGTCAGCAGTGACAAACCCCAAACATAGGCAAACCTGAAGACCATATGGCATGTGGTAGGACATGGGACTAGCTTTCAGGACAGGGAGCACCTCCCAGCACACCAGGAGACCCTGAGGAAGGCAAAGAAATCCTACCGTGGTTGTCTGAAGACGGGAGTGACCTCTGCCTTCCTCTTTTGGGGCCCATAAGCTGGGCAGTAAGGTGGCTATATAAGCCAGGAAAGGCCATCTAGAGACATAAGGAAAAGAGAGAGCTTAAGACAGGTTAGATCTGGCTGGTGATGAGGTATCCGTTTGAGCTGAGGCTGGGCTACAGCTAATCCTGGCATGGACTATTTGAATGCTAGACTGGCAGCTACCTAGAGACATAGGGAGACACGTTGGTGATGGGGCTGGAGAGTAGGGAAGGGACCGGGGGAAATTTGAACTTTTTGTTATGATAGAGATGTGGGGGTGGTGTAGATATAAAATGAGTCTTCCAGAACATCTCTCACGTGGAGAGGCACCCCAACAGAGGGATTGGGCCTACAACAGTAACTAGGGATGGCATTTCTTTTCTTAGAAAGTCCAGTTTCTCTGTTTTTGGTTTAACTTTTCCCTGAGATTGAGCAACAGTAAAAGGTAGACATTGGATGGAGCTTCTCAGAGCATTTATTTTTTTCTGATTATGAGGCTGGGAGTGCAGAGTAGCTGAACAGGGCTTGTTACTGGTATGAGTGCTGGCTCAGGTGGAGAAGCAGAAGCAGGGGTTTGCACATAGGGAGTAGAAGAGGAACACATATGTGGAGCAGCTGAACTAGAAGGAAAGATGTAAAGGTAGTTGTAAAAGTAACTGCAAGAGGCATAGGAATAACTGCAAAGGATGAGGGCGCAATTCCCCTAAACCCACCCCATTCCTGGATCCCCTCTTTTCTTCCTTAAGTTAAAAAAAAATTCCTTGAGGCAGCTCAGGTCAGAAGCTACAAGGATCAGAAGTCACAGGTTGGAGAGCAGTTTGCTCTGGCCAGCAGAGCCAGGTTCTGGCTGGATGGCAGCTCAGGCCTCCTCAGCTGTGGCGTCGATGCCCGCGTAAGTGAAGTTCTCAAACAGCGACATGTTCACGTAGGCCTGGGGAGCAGAGCAAGCTTTAGTGGGGGCCAGAGATGGGGGTGACCATGCCCTAGAGGTTTTTGACTTCCATGTAATTGGGGTATCCTAAGAGACACTGATTTGTTCTAAAGATTCAAGATGGCTCCATGGCCAAGGGCGGCCCTCACCAGCCCAGAATAGCATGAGCAGCAGACCATAGTTGGAGGCTCAGGTGAGAGGCCCCTGACACAATTGTTAGGTAGGAGTTTTTTCATGTATTCATCCAATGAATTGTTTGTTCATTCATTCATTTACTTATTCATCTATTTATAAAGCTATTTTTGATGATTTATTCATTTATGTGGTTATGTGATCATTCCTTCATTCTTAAGATAGTTTACAAATTCCTTTAGTTAGTCATTAATTCATATGAAGAACAGTTTTTGCATTTACAAATGTATCATATTTATTTTGATATATTTCTTCATTTATATTTGATAATTCATTTATTCACATGGTTAATAGATCCAGTTATTTAACTATGTGTTTATTTATATTATTATATCATGTGATTATATCATCCATCTACTAATTCTATTCATTCATTCATTCATTCATTCATTCATTCAGTTACGGTACCATTCATCCATCCATTTGGTTAGTTGACCATTTGTGTATTACACTCTGGCTCTGTGCCAGGTGAGGAGAGATGTTCTAGATGAAAATGGGCTGATGGCCCCAGTAGAGGACAGGCAAGCAGTCTGGGACCTGGGATCTGGGGAGGGATTTGCTGGTGGGGCTAGCAGTGGCCTTGAAAAAGAAGGGCCTAATGTCCAACCCATCGAGAAGTGGGAGTGGGTGCTGCATCCTGGGCCTGGCCTAGCTGCGGTGGCAACTAGTGGTAGGAACAGGGACCCAGAGGCTGCTGCTGGCTCCTATAAGAGGGCAGTCCTGTGAGCCTCGTGAGCCATAGTCCTTATCACCCACCGGGCCCCGCCCCCGCCACCCCATCTTCTCACCTTCCTGGCTTCCAGCATTCGGCCCAGCTGCACGGCGATCTGGGCGAAGGGAGGTCGCTCGTTCGGGCGGTCCCGCCAGCACTGACGCATTAGCTCGTACCTGCCGATTGGGCATTGTTGAGATGAGGGGTTAGGGCCAATTGGGGTGATTGGATCACAAGGTTCAAGGTTGAGGCAACTCACACTTCATTGTCACAGTTTCGAGGCTGCTCCATGCGGTAGCCCTGAGGCAGCTTCTCATAGAGCTCAGCACAGGTCATGCCGCAGTAGGGTGTGCCCCCTGCAGGAGGGGACAAAACTCTCTTAGCCCCGGGCCCCAGAGGAGGTAAGGTAGGGGTACCCGGAGGCAGAGGGATTTGGGACTCACCAAGGCTCACGATCTCCCAGAGGAGGACCCCAAAGGACCAGCTGAAATGAGCAGGGTGCACTTAGTTACCACTAGGCCCTAGGGCCAAGCAATTTAGTGTCTAGCAAACCCAAGTGTGCAGCCTGTTCCAGCTCTTGAATATGTCTACTCTGCAAGTATCTTGCCTTGGTCAGCAATTATCTTTACTCCATTGAAACGTCTTCATGGCCTCTCCCAGGCTCAATGTAATCATAGCTAGTATTTTTACTGCACACTTACTATGGGCCAAGCACTAATCATTTAATATATATGTTCATACATTTAACTCTTATAACAACCCTATGATATAGGTACTATTATTATCCTCATTTTATTAATGGAGCCCTGAGGCACTGAGAGGTTAGGTAGCTTGCTCAGGGTCACACAGCTAACAAATAGCAGAGCTGGAATTCATACCCTCACAATCTGACTCCAAAGCCCTTGCTCTTAATTGTCTCTTTTATGGTAACAACCTCCACGCACGTGAGTCAGGTAAGGCCAGGGTAGGAGATCTAGTGCCGGGAAGGAATCTAGGGGTTTTGGGAGCAGAAGCAGGAAGTAGGTGAGTGGGGGTCAGAGGGGCAGTCAGTGTGGTGGACAGTGAGCAGGGCAGGGCAGGCCAGGCCAAAGGGCTTGTGGCAAATATGCAGAACCAGGGCTGGAGGGTCCGGGCTGGCTAGGTCTCCCAGAGGGGCAGGAGTGTGCCAAGATGGTTGTCTAGGGGTAGGGAGCACAGAGAAAGAGTCTTGGGGCTCATATTCTGGTTAGGTCTTCATGTGGGGGATGACTCTGCCCCCTAGAGAAGAAGATGAGAGCATTCCTTGACTGATCTCTCCAACCACATGGGCATTATTCACCAGCATCCCCAAACCTCTCTAAGGCAACTCCGGTCTCTTAAACAAACACTGCCCTAAACTACTCCTACCTCAGTCCTACCTCTGAAATACCTTCTAAGACAAAACTTCCTTCCAGCTTGCTCCCCTACCTTCCCACTAAAATGGTTGGCATCACTAGGGTATACACAAGACACACCTGGAACAAACCCTAGGGACCTCCAAGTCATGCCTTAGACTACATGAGACATGTCTGAGACGTATCCAGGTAATGCCTATGTGCATCCTTGGGGGACCAAGCCCTCCTGCCCCTTCCCACCCCAACACTCACACATCACTCTTAGTGGTATAGACGCTGTAGTTCAAAGACTCAATGGCCATCCAGCGCACAGGGAGACGCCCCTGGGAGAGAGTGAGTTTGAGGGGCTGGGTAAGGAAAAAGGGCCTTATATAAGGTAATTCTGGGGAACAGGGCCAGCATGGACCCTGAGGGGGAGGACTGAGACTTACCATCGTCTTCTTCACATAAACCTCCTCCCCCCGAGAAAGACCGAAGTCAGCAATCTTGGAGGCCAGATTCTCTCCGACCAGCACATTTCGGGCAGCCAGGTCCCTGTGGATGAACTGCAGGCATAATCGGAAGTCAGGGAAGACTGGGGATTAGTGAGCCCAGGACTCTTAGGCCAGTGAGGGGTCCAACTCCACGGACAGTCCCAGTCTTCCTGGCCATCCTCCAGGCCTTTAGTAACCCCTACTCTTCTTCCCACCCAGCCAGGCCTCCTCCTGGGTCAGCGACTCCTGCCTGAGAAAAATTACAGTGCTGGCTGTCATCCCTTCCTTGCTGTGATCTGGCCATGGCCAAGCCCAGGTGTACCTCTTTTCCTGGGACAATGGTGGGTGATCTCATTGCACCTTCTCTTCTTTGCATGCTCCCTAATCCTCTCTCTCTCAACCTCTTCTCCCCTCATTGATGACAATGGGGAAGGCCTTTCTCTTGTCCAGAGTGCCCTCTGCCTTGAGTTCCAAGTCCTCCCCACTCGGGCTTCCACCTTCCTCAGAGACCTCTCTCCATCAACCCCTCCCTCTGCATTGGTCCCTGATCTGCCTTCAAAGATACTCAGAACTTTACTACCTTTCAAATGCCTTTCCTCAGTCTCATGTCCCCCTCCTACTGCTGCTGTCCATCTCTCCTTTCATTCGAGCAGAGTGTCCTTGGACTTGAGCTTGGGCCTCCACTCTCTGCTCTTCCCTTTGCCCTCTCCTGGTGGGTCTCGCCCACTCCGTCATCATTAGTGTCACCATCTGTAGGGTGACAGCTTCCAGATTGTTGTCCCTACCTCAGACTTCTCCCCTGAGTTCTAAGCTGGCATCTACAACTGCTAACTCAACACCTCCACCAAGATGTCCCTCGGATCCTTCACACACAACAACTCCTCCAGACCTGCTTCCGGTCTGTGCTGTCACCCGCTGGCCCAGGCCAGCACCTTGGGGTCAAGTCCTTCTCTCAATTTCTCAATCCCACATGCAATTAGACCCTGCTGATTTTATCTCCTGATAAAATCAGTTAGTCCAGTGGTTTCTCCCTAGCATACCCTCCCTCCATGTGTGTGTGTGTGCACATGCACACACATACACACACACACACAGGCACACGCACACAACCTGCTTCTCACTCAGGTACTGCATGCCATTGGCAGCATCACTGGCAAAACGCAGCAGCTGCCGGGAGCTGAGGGTGGAGGCCGTTCCATGTTCTCGGGCAAAAGCAGGGTCTGTTTCCAGGACCCGGCTCTTTCGCAGAAAATCTAGCAGGTTTCCATAGGGGGCGTATTCAATAGCGATATACAAGTAACCTGGGAGGTGGAGAGATACATGGTGGTGGTTTCTGTACAAGACAACCTGGTGGCAGCAGGTACCTAATGGTAGTAGACAGGGAGTCTGAAGCATGAAGGAGAATCAATGGTGACGTTTAGGTAACCTGAAGCTCACAGTAAATTACTGAAGTGGAGGAAGAGATGGTTCATGATGGAGGTTTTGAAGAAGGGGTAGGTTATGAGTTGAGAGATCACCTCGGTTCTCACAGGCTCCCAAGAGGTTGATGATATTGGGGTGATGCCCCAATTTGCACAGAACTTCCAGTTCTCCAGCAAAGTCACGATGGTCATTTTCAGAAGCATACTCTGTGTAAAGAATCCAGTATCAGTTTTGCCAGAAATAATTCTGGAAAAGGGCATGGGCTGGTAAGGGCTGAGGTCAGTTACTAGAGGGAGCCAGGTGGGGCTTAGGATCTGTGCGACAAAGGAGAGGGTCAGGGGTCAATTTCTTTGGACCTTTCAGCATCTTGATGGCTGCATTCATCTTGAGCCCGTCCTTCTTGATCATGGCCCGGATGACCTGGCCGAAGTTCCCCTCCCCGATGAGGTCCTCAAAGGTGATGTCCTCCCACTCCAGCACCGGGTAATTCAGGGGCTCGGGCTGTGGTTTTGGTCGCCGGGTCAGTGTTAGGGTGCCTGAGCTGAACTGCAGGATGGTCTCCTCGCCCTTCACAGGATGGGACAAGTGGGCAGACAGTCCACGCAGGAGACATAGTGGAAGCAAGACACACGGATACGCAAAGAGTAGTAAGACAAGTGGACAGAGGCCCAGGCAGAGGCACTCTTATGGTCAGCCAGGGACAGACATACAGACAGAGGACACATTACTGAGACAGAATCATAGGAGATGGAGCCATGGGTGGGCGGTCGGGTGGACAGATGTCCACGGAGAGGCTGCGGCCTGGGAGTCAGGTGTGTGGGGCTATGGGAAAATAAGGAGTGGGTAAAATTGCTAGAAGCCAGACATGAGTCAATGGGAGGATATTTCTAACATTTAAAACAGAAAGGAACTGGAATGAGCCATGATGGCAAGCAGTGAGCTGATCCCACAACCAGGCTTCTTTAACGCAATGGATGGATGCTCTGGAGAGGATTCTAGCCTCGGGCAGTTGGCTATGGTTCATTTATTGAGCACCTACTACATGCTAAGCCCAGAGCTGCTGGAAGCCAGTGGAAGGGCTTCTCCATAGTAGCAGAAGCAGAGATTACCACTATCCACTCACTTAGTGTCCATACATAGTTCTAAAACCACCCTGGGGCCTGAAGATAATAAGACCTTAACAAAGAAGAATGTCCAGTACCCCCGACTGAGCAGGGCTGATGGCAGGAAAAGGAAACAGCAGAACAGAACAAGGGAACTGCCAATAGGAAAACCAGAAGAAGGGCTAAGACAGCCCTGATGGTGGGGCTCCCTATGTGAGGTGAAGCCCAGCTGGATGGGGAAGGGCTGGGGACACATGGGTCACATGGATACTCATGAAACATGGACAGCTGGAGGCATACACCAGCATGTACACGTGTGTTCTAGTGGTGCCACTATATGCAGGTGCATCCATGCAGAGGTCCACATAGACATGTGAGCATGGAGGGGCACAAGTAGAGGGACACGTACATCAAGGACAGGCATATACACATGGGAGTTCCTACAAGGGATGTGCGCGTGCACACACACACAGCATACACTCATGTGCACACATCCGCAGACAGACACATGTACCAGGGGTGTATCTTGATATATGTTAGCATTATATATACTTTAAAAGATGCTTTCTCACTCCTTCCCCCAACATTTGTATCCATTACCCTCCCCACCAGAGTAGTGGTGGCTTTCTGTGGGCACTGACCACAGAGGGAGGGCCAAAGCAGCCCGAACAAAAAAGCCAATTGAAGGGAGTTTTTAAAGGCATGACAGAGACAATAGCTTTGGACATGAGGCTTTCAATCACAAAGGATCAGCCCTGGAGAGAAAAGAGAGGTTTTTTTTTTCTTTTTTTTAATGCCAAAGTTTGGTGGTAAATATCAAGAGCTCAGGCTTGGTGGACCAAAGGCAGAGTTCAGGTCATAAGTTGCAACTAGGGAAGATCTCAGAGGGGACAGGACCAGGGGGTGGGAGAGAGAGATGGGAGGAGGTGACACGATGAGATCATGCTGGGCCCTGGAAGATGAGCCAGCACCCCACCCCCACCCTTCAGTAAGTAGCTGGGCTGGAGGGGCATGAACTACAAAACTCAGACAGGTGTTCAGGGAAGCCAAGGAGAGTGGAGGCTTGTGCTTCCTTTCTCAAGGAGCGACAGGTGAGGCTGCAGGACTAGTGCAGCTCCCGCGTAGTAGAAAAGGCTATGTGAGGGGTTGTAGCAACAGGTCTGAGGGCCGCAGGATATGCTGCCCTCTGCAGGGTACAGAGAAGCACCCCAGAATCCTTAAGTCTTCCCAAGGATTTGCAAGAATGGAAGATGGGATAAGGAGCTCACAGAATGAGAGGCCACAGAGGGGCTAAGGCCATCAGCCACAGCTGTGTGCAGGTAGAAGCTGGCTCCCAGATCAAGGGGGGCCTGTCAAGACAGAGGCCAGCGTGAAGCCCAGGTGCCCCTCCATGATATCACCATGCCACCTAGGCTTAGATCACTCCCAGGGAGAAGTGGGAGAATTCTGAATTGACCATGGTGAAATATAGACATAACCAAGTTATTCTGAACTGTGAATATTAAATATTTCACTACCGATATCAATAGGCTCATGAGCTGAGTTCAGTTCCAGTGAAATAAAGAAAATTACATTTTATGCTCTTGAGTGTCATTGAGTGTGGTCTTATACCTGTGACATAAACATGCACGTGCCCACACACACACACACACACACACACACACTCAGGGTATACAAGTACTTGTGTATACATAGTAGATACATATACACAGTAGACACAGAGTCTGCACACATGTGCCCCGGGATTGGTATGGGCCACTGACCGATCCTGACTGGTAGGTGAAGGTACGTCTGCGGTGCAGACAACTTCTGCGGATGCACACCAGAGTTAAGAGGGCGGCCAGGATGGTGAGGCAGGTGGCAGACACGGAGCCCACCACAGCCAGGATCAGCTGTTGATCTAGGCCCTCTTCTGCGGCCCGGATCTCTTGGACTGGGCCCTCACTCTGTAGCCCTAGACACAATAAGATGAGAAGATCATGGGGATACCTGGGTTAGGGAACCCAGAGGCTACTGTAGGGTTACACAGAGGGAGAAGTCAACGATCCCAGTACCAGGGAGGAACCGGGGATGTCAGGCCTAGGGCCAGTGGGTCACTGGAGTGACATAATTTTCCCAGCACTAGGATAGCAGATCATAAGAAGGGAAGGGTCCGGGTCCCCAGTACCAGGGCTCATGTCACTTTCTGGGAGGGGCCTGGGATGCCCTAGCTCCAAGGCAAGGGATCATATGGAGGAAGGGCTTACTGAGACTGACCCCAGGGCCCAGGAGTCCCCATGGGCCCTGCCCTCTCACCGTTGCCCAGGGTGGACTCTTCTACCATGTTGCTCCAGTCACCAGGACCCTGGACACTGGCCCGCACACGGAAGAGGTAGCGTGTGCTGGCATTGAGGCTGCGGACAATGGTGCTTGTCTCCTCAGGCCTGTCCACGTCCATCCACAGTGGGTCTCCTGAGCCCCCAGCCACCTGCACCTCCACAATGTACTTGGATATAGGCCCAGCTGGAGCCTCTGGGCGCTGCCATGTCAGCTGGATCTCAGAGTCTGAGAGGGCCTGGGCATGGAGGTATCGGGGGGCAGGGGGCCCTAGGGAGATGAAGACAGAGAGGCAGGACAAAGGCAGAACCAAGTTACAGAGCTGTGAGGTCAGTCGGATCCATCTAGTGGTATCCCCTGCTCTGAGGACCCCAGAATAGGAGCCACCTTGCTAACCTCCTCCTCCCTCCTAGGCTGAATTCTTCTCCCTACGGCCTCTTCTACCCCTGAGCTTCTGCTTCCCCTTATTCTCCTTATGTCTCAGGTCTTTCTGGTGTTCTAGATCCTCCCAGTGTCCTAGGTCCTCCCCATGTTCCCCCTGTGCCCTGTGTTACCCCGTCCCATGTCCTCCCTGTGCCCATGTCCTCCCTGTGCCCATGTCTGCCTGATGTCCTAAGTCCTCCTATGCCCATGTTTTCCATATGCCCTGGATTCTCTTCACATCCATCCAGTCTCCTGGAAACTCCCATGTCCTTTTGGGTCTTGTGTGTCCCCTCTGTCTCCTGTCCCCTCCTCATTCTAAGACCATCCCCCTTTCCTGAGCATACCACTGGGGGGCAGAAGCACCCGTGCAGGGGGTGAGGCAGGGCCCAGGAGGGTGCAGTGGTAGAGGCGCACATCCAGCTGGTAGTGGGTGCCAGGTGTGAGTCCGGTCAGGAGGGTGGTACGGGCCTGGGGGGATGAGACGTTCTCCCGCCGCTCCTGTCCCCGTGTCCCGTCCCACAGGCGCAGCAGGAAACCATCGCCCACCAGTGGCCCAGGCACCGAGGGTAAGGACCAGCTCACTCGCAACCGGTCAGGACCCTCCACATGCCAGCCCTCCAGCCACGGCTGCAACAAGGGCTCTGGGGCCAGAGGTCAGGGGTCAGAACTTGTCTAGGGGGTCCTTGGGGCTGGACAGGACAGTGATCCCCAGGGGAAAGGGTGGGATAACCTCCAATGAGAAAGGCAGGGTCCCCTGGGGTAGATAAGACTTGACAACCCCTGAGTGCACAGGACAGTAACCCCTGGGGTACAGGAAGAGATAACTCTTGGCCTCTCACCAGGACAGTCTGTAGTCATGAGGGTGGGAGGTCCCCAGGCCCCCTCCCCTCCTTCCCCTGGCCGGCTCAGCTGTACACGGACACTGTATCCTGTCTTCGGCCTCAGGTTCATTAATGTCACATTCTCACTTGGGTCCACTGGGGGTGGGGTACACAGCATACATCATTCAGTCCCAGCTCCTTCCAGAAGCTGCTCTTCTCCCTTCAGCTCCTCTCTTCCCCTTGTACCACTCAACCTCCCCCTCCATTCCCCCCTTCTCCTCTTATTATTACCCAACCCCTGTCCTGCCCCAGCACCCCCTCCTGCCCCAGCTCTTTCCCCACTCACCCACGATGGCGGACCAGGCCATGGTCCTGGGGCTGTCCTGGGGCCGGTAGTGCAGGCGGACAGAGGCAATGGGTCCGTCTCCAGAGAAGGAGACCAGTGGGGACACCACAAGCTGGCGACTCTGCTTGGCCAGGAGCCTAGGAGCAGTCAGGGGCACCGGGGGCACTGCCAGGAGACTCAGGGTAAGGCATGGCCCAGAAAGCCAACTTCACCCTTAGAAACGAGGGGACTCTGTGCTTTGGCCAACAAAAATATTTGGGATCTCAGTTTGGATCTGGGGACCCTCTGGGCTGGGCAAAGACCAAGTTCAAGAGATGACCAGAGTGGCCAGGGCCCAAAGAGGATAGAATTCTGTCCCCTGGGCAACTTGAGGCATAAGGATATGGCACTCTGATTCACGTTTAAATGCATTATCAAATTTACTCTTTGAGAAAAAAATGGTGTATATGATAGAGGCTCTGTTCATCCCTCTTGTGACCAAATCAGAATTGTGATGGAAACAAGGAGCAAACAGCAAGAAAAATCACCTGGCATCTAGATAAACAAGCCTTACAACTAGGAAGAGAAATAAGAAATTACCCTGCAACAGGACAAGGTAGGACAGGGAGTGGACATAAGGCTGCCTGGTCTAGAGCGGCTTAGTGGGACAGAGGTCATGGCAGTGGCAGAAGCCTCTTAAAGGGGCCGTGTCTGCGAGCGGACTTTCGCGGTGACGGACCTGCTCGCTCTGAGCACCAGTAGTGGGTCAGCTGCATACCAGGGACTTACGGGGGACACTGAGTTATCAGAGTGAGGGCCAGAGGCAAGACTCACTCTACAGAAGTGCCAGTGGTATCCACTGTTCCTCTGTTGAGCCCTCCCCCCTCCCAGTGTGAGGACTAAGTGCCGCCATAGCTGAGACATCATCAAATTGGATAACAGAGGTTGCTCCACCCAGAGGATTCTCTGAAACCCTGCCTCCCCCAACTCCCAGCCCCAGCAAGCCACATCTAGGTGTATCCTCAGCCAGTTTGGTGCCCCTTGCTGAGCAGCGCCTAGACTCACACTGGTGGCAGCTAGCCTCGGTTTCTGATGTGGTTTCTTAAGGCAACTATAAGCACAGCATCTATGAGTTGCTTGCTGAATCTTAACAGGTGGCCCTAGAGGGCCACAGGCTGGGGCTAAATTTGGCCTGCAGCTGAATCCCTCTCAGGACTGTGCCACTGGACACCTACTACGCAAAACCACGCTAAAAAGACTGGGAGATTTAGGAGCTTTGCTTAGTACCTAGAAACAGATACAGAAAGGCAGCCAACATGGGAAAACAAAGAAGCAGAAACCATATGAGAAAATAGAACAGAGATCCAGATCCTCTCAGGACTGTGTCTCTGGAGACCTACTTCACAAATCCACACTAAGACCAGGAGTCTTAGGAGCTTTGCTTAGTACATAGAAACAGACATGGAAAAGCAGGCAAGATGGGAAGAAAAAGAAGCAGAAACCGTATAAAAGAACTGAACAGAGATCCAGATATAATGGAGTTAAGCAATCTAACAGATACAGAGTTCAAAACACTGGTTATAAAGATGCTCAATGAAATTAGGGGAAGTGTAGAAGAATTCAGTGAGAACTTTAACAAAGAGATAAAAAAACATAAAAATGGAAATTATAAAAAAGAACCAGTCTGAAATAAAGAACACATTATCTGTGATGAAAAGTATATTAAATGGAATTAACAGAGTGAATAAAGAAGAGGATTGATTGACCTATATAGAGGACGGGGAAGCCAATCAGCATGGTAAGAAAAAAGAAGTCAAGACTATAATAATAATTTAAGGAGCCTATGGGACACTATTAAATGTAAAAATATCCATGTCATAGGGGTACTTGAAGAAAAACAAGACATTGAAGAGTTATTTGAAGAAATAATGATGGAAAACTTCCCTAACCTGGTGAAGGAAATAGA